TAGCATTTTGGATTTGGTTTTCCTTTCTTTTCATAGATTTTCCTTAAGAAATGGACAAAATGAAGATACTGATCAAAATTCTTTTTTTTTAATGGGGTCATATCTGTTCCTGTAATGGTTTACGATTATGAACATCAATCCTGCTCCTAAATAACATCAAGCATGTCAAACATTCTGATCACAGTAAACAAGAGATCGGATGGCCCGGATGAGATTCTCGATCACCTAAAGTTTAATATTACATGGATTTTTTTTTTTCAAATTAGTTAATACATGCATTTTAGCATTCTAGAATTTCATAGAAATAGAAATAAAACTTTTCAGTTATGAAAAACTAGTCCAAAGTTTATATTACTTATTTCTTGCTTGGATCTTAGTTTGGCTTGAAATATATCCCTCAACATATTTCTCATTACTTATCCTTTTTCAAGTTGTTGTTTGGATTGATTTAATGGTCATCATCATACATATTTATCGTGAAATATCTGCAATATAAAGGTTTCTCTATCATTTCAAATTTTCTCAAAATTTTCAAATAATTCGAATCATACATTTTCTTTTAAGAAAAATCCCTCCTAAAGTTTTTAATCCAACAAAATTATTTTGTCAAAATTCTCAAAAGCTTAAAAATATATCGCATAGTATAGAATAAGCCGAGTTTTTGAGTAACAAATGAAAACGACTGAAACATTTGTTACACATCTCAGATAAAAAAATAATTTCAAATATGTTTTTATAATGATGTAATACATGATGATTAACGAATAGTATTCAAGCTCAAAATTCCATTATACATTACAAACTTTGGAGCAAAGCAAACTCAAATCTCTAGAACATCAGAGGCAGGATCAGGAGAGGATCTCTAGAACATCAGTGGCAGGATCAAGAGAGGATCTCTAGAACATCAGAGGCAGGATCAGGAGAGGATCTCTAGAACATCAGAGGCAGGATCAGGAGAGGATCTCTAGAACATCAGAGGCAGGATCAGGAGAGGATCTCTAGAACATCAGTGGCAGGATCAAGAGAGGATCTCTAGAACATCAGAGGCAGGATCAGGAGAGGATCCCTAGAACATCAGAGGCAGGATCAGGAGAGGATCTCTAGAAAATCAGAGGCAGGATCAGGAGAGGATCCCTAGAACATCAGAGGCAGGATCAGGAGAGGATCTCTAGAACATCAGAGGCAGGATCAGGAGAGGATCTCTAGAACATCAGAGGCAGGATCAGGAGAGGATCTCTAGAACATCAGTGGCAGGATAAAGAGAGGATCTCTAGAACATCAGAGGCAGGATCAGGAGAGGATCCCTAGAACATCAGAGACAGGATCAGGAGAGGATCTCTAGAACATCAGAGGCAGGATCAGGAGAGGATCTCTAGAACATCAGAGGCAGGATCAGGAGAGGATCTCTAGAACATCAGCGACAGGATCAAGAGAGGATCTCTAGAACATCAGAAGCAGGATCAGGAGAGGATCCCTAGAACACCGTAGGCAGGATCAGGAGAGGATCTCATTTCAAACTTTTTGTATGGATAACCTTTATGCTATTTTCAATATACTTGGGGGAAAGCTTGAGGATATGCAGCTTTGAAAGGACAGTTAGGAATTGTATTTCCTGGCACAAAATATACACGAGGCCCATGGGCTTTAATGGTCACCTAAAATTGTCAGGCTATATCTACTTTAAGCCCATCTGAAATTGGCTAGATAGACTTATTTTATACAGTTTGATGAAATCTCTGTTCACAAATCTATGCACTTTGTTCCCTATGAATTGATGAGTGAATGAAATAACATCATCATATTTTGACGGTGTGACCGTTAGGGTGAGCGCAAATACTTATCCAGTTTTCATTTAGATTATACTCGTCAAACCGCACGTGACATTTGGCATGTATAAGACTCTGACGTCACATGACGTTGTATGTATGTCACTTTACCAAACTAAAGCCTGCAGAGAGCTGACTATAATAAAGAACCGTTTTATTAACTATTTTTCTACCAAAAAATCATAAAATCAAGCAAGTTTGCTAACGAGCGCAGCGAGCTCGCGAAACTTTACTGCGAGCTCTTAAAGCAACGCCTGTGCGAAGAGAAAATTCGGACTACTGCACATTCATTCGATTGAATTGTTTGATGCAGTAATTTGAACCCACAATGCACCACTTGTTTTAGCTACGTTCTCGTGACAAAAATGCTTATTTTTCACCAATTACCAAAGCAGTAATAAACTGAAACATAATATTTCATATATATATTTATGTTTGATTTATTTGCCTAAAACATAAGAAAAGAATCATATCCAAGACCAGTTCAAAATATGGTGATGCTTGAAAGCCCGATTGTAATGGAAAATATGGTCTATTCCCCTTTTTTCAAGAGCTGGAATTAAGGATGATTTACTATTTAGCGCTGATTTCAAAAATATTTAATCTGTTATCATTGAGCTGTTCTTTGTATAAAAGATTTTATGGCCAAATATGCAATTTATGTTGAATAAAATGGGTGCAAGATGTAGGCGGGAATGGAGAGTTAGCATGCGTATTTCTTTCTGAAACAATACATTGCATCCTCCCAATAATTTGAAAGATTTTTCCCTATTCTTACATTAAATTGATCCCTAATTGTGTCTCTTCTCTACCCCTTACAATGATTGATTCCTTGTCATGATCAGGAACACACGGAAAAATCCGTCGTCAATTCAGTGTATAGATAATGGACTAACAATTAGTATGAAAAACGTCAATCAGCATTTGACTCAATGATAAATTTTATTTGCTGACAAGTTCATTGTATCGACCATAGAACTTACGAAATGATTACTTTAAACGATGCTCCAATTTAAATATGACTGTCAATGGCTAAATTGTTCTTGAGAAGACTTAAAGTTTTTTCCCAATGTATTTCTATTTTAAGCCATGATCTCCCAACGTAATCACACCCCCCCCCCCCCAAAGGGTCATAATTTGAACAAACATGAATCTACACTACATTATCTGTAAATCTGACTAACTACTAAGTAGTTTGCCATTCTTGAGAAAAATTTTTAAAAAATATTTCCACAATGTAGGACTAATTTTATAAAAATAAAATTAGTCCTACATTGTGGCTCCACCCCCATCCCTGGAGGTCATGATTTGAAAACACAAAAATCTACATTACCTGATGAATCTTTCTGATTTGCATTTCATCATTTATGGCTCTGCTGTTTTTGATATTTAAAAAAAATCTAAATATATTCCTATGAATTTTATCTCCCACCTTCTCAGGGGGTCATAATTTGAACAAAAATGAGTCTACACTACCTGAAGGTGCTTTCATATAATTATGTGTTTTACCATCTTTGGTTTTGCTGTTCTTCAAAGGATTTTTTTTATTTTACCGAATATATTTCAATATAAAATTTTTTTCCCCAACTGTGGCCCTATCCTATCCCCAGGGGCAATGATTTGAACAAACTTGTACCTAAACTATGCCAGAAAGATCCATATGAATTTCATCTTTTCTGGCTCAGTACATAAACAATAACTAACCTCTTTTTAGAAATACTGTAAAACGAGAAAATTTGGCGCATACGTATTTTAGCGCAAACGCAAGTGGGAATGTATTGGCGCAAATAAATTTTAGCGCTTGCACTTGTCAGTAAAATATATAAATCTGAAATTTTGGTTTTTTTTAATCCACACCCGTATTTGACTTTTTGGTTTGTCAAGCACGGAAACACATTAGTACTCCCGTATATTAGTTAACATTCGTTAACTTTACCGCGGTACGTGTTGTTATTACATGGACGTGGTACAATGTTATAATGTATTTTATTTCTATTTTCAATTAAAAGAAATGGAGTGTTTACTCATTTAACTCATAAAAAACCAATGTATGCATCGACAGAAAATTACGTAGATAAAACGGTAATCCTAATCAGGTATTGTCTGCAAGCTCAATCGCCATGCTTGATTGCATTGTTTACCTCGAGGCGATAGATGATTGACACGCCGAGAAGCCAAACTTTGAGGGTGCTAATAATAATAATCGGCTAACAACTACCGAGGTAACAATGGTTAAATTAAATTATAATTTGACAGAACTTTCAGTCTTCCGAACATGTGCAGTACTAGTTTGTATATAAAATCCAATGACCCTTCGACATTACGTAATCGCGCGTTCGGTTTACATGTACCTATGTAAAAGCTTTGAACACACACAAAAATGATATTTAGAAATCCTTTAGCGCACAATAAATTTTAGCGCTCAGGGGCCCTTGCACCAAAGGCGCTAAAATTAGTAGTGCGCCAAATGTTCTCGTTTTACAATAGTTCAAACGTAGAGGATGCTATTGCGTATCGAATCAACTAAGATACATATAAGATTCCATATTGTTGATTTGATACGCAAAAGCACGTTCTACGTGTAAACAAGGTAAATTATTGACATCAAAGTTGATGAAACAAGAATTTCAGCAGTCTCGTTTAAAGTCATAATTTTTTTAGTTCTATGGTCGATACAATGACCTTGTCAGCAATTGCAACTTATCATTGAGTTCAATGCTGTCTGGCTTTTTTTTATTCTAATATGAATTCAAGATTACGGTCTGTTAGCAATTCTCTGCTTGTACTTTAGATTTCTGTTATTTTACAGATAATTGTAACATAACGGCATTCTATATTGTTACAGATTTTCGTGATATTACATTTTTCTGTAATGGAACGATTCTTAGTAGTATAATGTAATATCCTGGGAAATACCATTCAGTGCGCCAAAATGATAAAACACGTGCTGTTTCAATTCTTTATCTAAAGGGAACTAACTGTTCATAAACATAATAATTTGAATCTCGATCCCGATCACAAATACTATAACATGTACAAATACTACACTCCTCCCCTCTTACATTTGATCCCTTCAAAACTTTACTACAAATCAATTTAAACTTCAAATTAATTTTAGCCAGTCAATAAACTTTAACAAGTCAATATAGCAACTTTAAATTTACAAATCACTGTTTAAATTTCCTCGATCAGTCTTTTGGGTGCATTTCGTTCACGTGCGGGATAACGCTTGACTGGTGTTATTGGAGCGGGTGTGTTTGGGTTGGACGGTGGAGAGTCAGCTGAAGAAATGGGTTGATTGTCACTCGTGTCCGATGTTTGAGTTCTGGAATGTGGAATGCGTTCAGGTGCGTTAGACGGAGATGTTACACCTGCATGAATGGGTGTAGAGTTAACATCTCCAGCGGAGTCGAAGATATTGATGTTCGGTTTTTCCTGTGGAAGATCAGCTTTACAACTCAGCAAGTGATCGCAATGACAATACCGGGTGCGGTTGCCAACCTTCACGAGATATGTCAGAGGTCCCATCACCTTGTGAATATAGCCTGGCATCCATTTCCATTTGCCAGCTTGAATGATTGTTTTCACCTGTACTTTCTCCCCAGTGTGGAATTTCTTTACTTGAATGACTCCTCTGTCATGATTTTGTTTCATCTTCTGCTGATAATTTTCCACTCGTTTTCCAGTGTCAGGTTTTATTAGAGACAGGCGGGTTCTAAGCTGCCTCTTTAGGAAAAGCTCTGCAGGAGCAACTCCTGTGGTAGTATGTGGTGTTATCCTGCATTTAAGAAGTAGGTCAGCCAATTTATGTTCGAGGGAGTGCGGCTTCCCATCAACTTCCTTACATTTCAATGCCTTTTTGACTATCTGCACACCTCTCTCAGCAAATCCGTTTGACTGTGGGTGGTAAGGTGGAACCAATGTGCACTTTATTCAGTTCAATCGTGCAAACTCCTTAAATTCACTTGAGGTGAATTGTGTCCCGTTATCACTTACTATCTCTTCAGGTAATCCTGTCGATGCAAACAGCATTCTGAGCTTGTCAATTGTCATTGAACTTGTCATGGATCTTACTGGAATAGCGTCTATCCACTTAGAATAGCCATCATAAACTATAAGTAAGGATTGACCCTTGTAGTCAGCATAATCAATATGTATCCTCTGAAATGGTCTCGTAGCCCAGATCCAGGGATGCAGTGGTGCTGATTTTGGACTGTTTCTTACGGACATACATGACGGACATTTTTCGACAACTTCCTCTATGTCCTTATCTAGGTTAGGCCACCATAGATATCCACGCGCTAGTGACTTCATCCTGCACATTCCCAGGTGCTCCTCATGAAGTTCTTCAAGTAAGCGCTTTCTTAGAGTCTGAGGAATCACCACCCGAATTCCCCATAACACAACTCCTTGCTCTACACTCAGAGATACCCTCCTCTCAAAGAATGGTTGAAGTTCTGGATCTGCATTGTGATTGGGCCATCCGGTTAAAGTAAGTTCATGTACCTTAGATAGCACCGGATCCATCTTTGTTGCTTTAGCGATGTCGGTGTTTGAAATAGGAAGTTCTACATCATCCAATTCAGAGAAGTACACATCTTCATAATCTTCCTGTACCAGGTTATCAGAAATATGAAGTCTCGATAATGAATCACAGTTTCCATGATCCTGCGATGCTCGATACTGTATCTGGTACTGGTATCCTGATAGTATGAGAGCCCATCTCTGCATTCTCGCAGCAGCTAAGGTAGGTACTCCATTCTTTGGTCCAAAAATAGTGACCAATGGCTTGTGGTCTGTGATGAGAGTAAATATCCTTCCATACAGGTATTTGTGGAATTTTTTCACCCCAAATATGATAGACAATGCCTCTTTTTCACTTGTGCATAATTGCGTTCACTGGAATTCAAAGTCCTTGAAGCAAAGGCAATGGGCCTTTCTGATCCATCATCCATAATATGAGACACTACAGCTCCAAGGCCGTATGACGAAGAATCACATGCTAGACGAAGAGGTTTGTTCATATCATAAAAAAACTAACAGTTTTCCTTTCGTAATCATCTGTTTGCTGTTCTCGAAACTCTCTTCACACTCGTCTGTCCATGACCAATTTTCCCCCCTTTTCAGTAGTTGGTGTAAAGGCTGTAGTACAGTACTTAAATTTGGTAGGAATGCTCCATAATAGTTCAAGTGTTCTAAGTATGCTTTTACTTCCTTTTACATCTTTGGGTCTTGGAGCATCACGTATTGCAGCAATCTTCTCATCTGTAGGATGTATCCCATGTTTGTCCACCAAAAATCCCATGTATATCACTTGATCAGCCATGAAGATGCATTTGTCCTTCCGAAGTGTGATATTGTGTTCTCGTAGACGGCGAAACACTTCTTGGATGGTCTTGACATGAGAATCATCATCTGGAGCCGTGATTAGGATATCATCAATGCGACACACTACATACGGAAGTCCGCTTAAAATCTTGTCCATTGCTCCTTGGAAAATGGCACTAGCTGAACTCACCCCATAGGCTAGTCTTCTATAACGATAAATTCCTAAATGGGTGTTCACTGTGAGATACTCTTCCGAGTCACTGCTCAGCTCCAACTGAGAATATGCTTGTCGCAAATCAAGTTTTGTGAACTTCTGTCCTCCTGCTAGAGTCGCAAACATATCATCCGTATTAGGTAAGGGATACTGTTCTTCGCTGATGACACGATTTACAGTGACTTTGTAGTCACCACAAAGTCTCACGGATTTATCTGGTTTTGGAACCACCACTATTGGTGCAGCCCACTCACTTGTTTTTACCGGATAAATCACTCCTCTTTCTTCAAGTTTCTTTAATTCTGCCTCCACTTTTTCCTTGAGGGCATAATGAACTGGACGAGCCTTGCAAAATATTGGTTGTCACTGTTCTTTGATTCTGATCTGAGCTTTGAAGTTCTTTATTGGATCTGAATTCTCCTCAAATAAATCCTCATACCCCTTTAGTAAAGTATCTACCGATCCATTTGTCACCGAGAAAATGTTTTCCCAATTCAGTCTGATCTTTGACAACCAATCTCTTCCTAGAAGACAGGGCTGGTTTCCCTTAACCACAAGAAGTAATATTTGTGGCACACATTGTTCACCATACTTGGCAGTCACTTCAAATTCACCTAGAACTGGAATGTCCTCCTTGGTATAGGATTTAAGCGATGCTGACGATTTCTTGAGATTGTACTCAGAGAGTCTATTTCTGTAGACTGCTTCATTCACTATTGTTCTCGCACTGCCTGTGTCGATCTGAAACTTCACAAGTTTGTCTCCTAGCTCTAGGTCAACCGAATAGTCCTTCGTTTTGCCTGATGTTTCTGTGAGTAGATAGAGTAGATACTGTGCTCTTCATGACGATACTCTTCACTGTGATCAAATTTCGAGTCTTCATTCACATATAGAGTAGGTTTTCCATTAAACTTTGGATTCCCCTTTTCATGTCTGCATTTCTTTGCCAAATGTCCAATTTTTTCACAGTTGAAACACTTTGTGTTCTAAAATTTACATGTATCTGCATTATGTTTACCCCAACACCGAAAACACTGTCTTACTGCCACCATGGGCTTCTGGTTTTTTCCTTTTCTGTCCCTCCAATGATTTGGCTTTGATTTCACATAATGAACTGGTGTAGAGTTACCGGTGAATGACAAAGTATCTTTTTCCGCAGTTTCCATTGCTGTAGCTATCCGTTTTGCTTTTTCAAAAGTGAGGTCTGCCTCGGACAGTAATTTCTTTTGAATGGCTTCAGATCTTAGTCCACACACTAGTCTATCTCTCAGTGCCTCCTTCAAAAAGTCCCCAAATTCACAATATTTTGATGAGTTCTTTAACTCGCACACATACTCATTTACTGTCTCACCTTCTCTCTGGTTTCTCTTGTTGAATTTGAAGCGCTCTGAGATCACTAAAGGTTTTGGCATGTAGTAGTCTGTGAGAGTTTTTACTATGTCTTTAAATGACTTTTCTTTCGGCAAAGCAGGCTGAAGCAGATTCTTAAGGACACCATACGTCGTTGGTCCAACTACCGACAGAAACACAGCTACCCTTTTATCATTTTTGACTTCATTTGCTTCAAAATACTGCTCCATCCTCTCCACGTAGTTCACAAATGTCTCCTTACCGTCGCTGAATTCTCCGAGTTTCCCGATATGCGCCATTTTTGTTTATGCACAAATGTCTCCGACACCTTTATGCCCCGAAATAAACAAAATGTCCACCTCGTCGCCACTGTAATATCTTGGAAAACACCATTCAGTGCGCCAACAGACAAAACACGTGCTGTTTCAATTCTTTATCTAAAGGGAACTAACTGTTCATAACCATAATAATTTGAATCTCGATCCCGATCACAAATACAATTACATGTACAAATACTACATATAAGTTTTCCTAATTCATTTTATTCCGATGATTGAAAGTTTTCCTAGAATTAGTATAATATTTTTATACTCCATCAAATATCAATGTCTTAGTTCAAGACACTTGCTTTGACAACAGGCCACTGAAATTTTTAAGTTACATTGTTCGAGATGTGATTGTTTATATCGAGTAATTAATAAGATTTGATTAAAAATTTAAAGAAAAACAAAGATTTGGTTAAAAATAGTTATTATGAATTGATATCAATAAAAATTTCTGAATAGAAGATCTGATAAGTCAATCATTTGAAAACATTTTGAACGACGCAACTCTGTAACTATAAATAGCTGCTTTCGAATACATTAAAATTAGGTCATTGGATACAACACAACTGGAATTATGGCATGCCTGTAAAGCCAAAAAAAATTGATCAATAGTTTCTCAGGCCAAAAAAAATCAAAATTCCATGCAGCAGGCAGGTTTTTTTTTTTTTGAAACAGATTTACATCTCATTTAAGCCATTTGTTAAATAAAATGATAATATCTACTTATTTTTAATTTTTTTTTATCTGAAATTAGTTATAATATGTATTCAATTGTAAATAATATTATTTCCAAATATTTATCTAAAAGTTAATTCTAAAAGTTAATGTAAATTCAGAAGAAATATAATTATTGTTTTTCTGATAAAAACGTCTTTCTTAGCATTTATGAAAAGTGGAATAACTCGATTTTTTCTTTTTCAAGTTGGAAAAATAGAAAATTGATCTATTTCCCTTTTCAATACGTCAATAAAATTGATTAATGCGACCGTTTTTGAACTGGTGCGGCAGTGTCTTATAAACTATTGATTAATTTTGTTGGCCTAAACGTATAGGTTGTTTGCTTACCCGGTAACTTATCAGGTTTTCATATGAATAATTCCAACAAAATCAAGCTTTTTCTTGTTTTCTCAAAGTATATTTCATATATCCACGATATCATGTACAACAAGTGTATCAGGAAAAAGGAAAAAAAAACTCTAAGAATAGTCAGATATTGCTTATATTATTCCTTTCGAATTTTCCTACGATTTTTCGTATTGGATGGGACTGCTGGTTTGGTAGCTAGAGATGGTGGCTTAGAAGTTGGTTTTGTCTTTTTGGACGGTGTCAAAGCTGTTTCTTTAGATGTAGTTAGAACAGCTTTGGTTTTAGCGTCTGTAATCTTCTCCTTTCCTATTGTTGCTGATAAAGAAACAATGGTTGATTTTGAATTACTTTCTGTCATAACTGATTTTGTTGTATTTTCGTTAGTTGGTGTTAGTAGGTGTCTATTTTCAGATACTTTGATGACTGAAGAATTTATGTTCTAATATTACATCAGTTACACCTGTGCATCTCTTATTTTTATTGATTGTGTATAACATGAATAAGTACGAGTTAATTCTATGTGTTAATGCCGCCATGCTGTCACAGTAAGCTTTCTTCCTTGTTAAATGCTTGTAATCCAACGTGTAAGTAGTTAAAAGTCTTTACAAA